ATCACGGTTGCGTCTCGTGGGTTTGTGTGCGTAACTAGCGCCGCTTTCCACTGCGCTACCTTTACCCTTCAGCAACATATCATCACAAAACGTAATTTTATCGATGAAATCAAGGTTTACCTCAGCAGTGATTTTGTAGAAACCAGCGTGCTCGAGTCGTGCCTTGTCGATAACGAAAGAGTAAGTGTCGTTGGTAATTAAAATCTGTAAAAATCGTCGATTGTGGGTATCATCTGAAGGTATGGGAATGGATACTAAAAAGCTCACTTCGCAGAACGTCGATTCTTTCCTGATCTCCTTTTCATTGAAAAGGAATCGAACTTTTGGTCGTGGATTACCCATCAGTACCGTCTCAAGCACTATTCTGCCACCTTCATCCACCGTGTACTCTTTATGGAGGGGACGTATGAATTCTGGTTCCGTCGCTGCTCTTCCTGAAAAATAACTGGATATTCGTGCATGTACAATGGAACCATGATGCCCCAATACCGATATCTATCGCTTCTCTGCGATACGTTTCCTCTTCGAGGAATCGGTGCCTCGGGACTGGCGGCGGGCTGGGTGAGGTAGTGTAGGCGCCATCGGTCCAGAAACCTTCTCCTTCAGATGCCTATAAGCAAAAGCAAATTGAGCAGTATGGTGGTCTTCAGTCGATTCCCATTTTGGTAAGAAAATAAATAAATAACGAAAAAGTGAAACAAGATGTACATAAACAAATGAGCAATTTTCTAAATTCAGAAAATAAATCACTAAGCAGCCTCCCATTTTTATGAGCAATTGAATTTGTTAATATATTAATTATCGTAGAATCTCTCTGCTGCTTGCGATCAACGAGGTGAAGTTCTAATTTATATAGTTTTCAAGTTTTCAGTTTGACAGTTTTTTTTATGAACTGTTGAGTAACCCACCGCAATAAAACTGTCTCGGTAACGGGACTCATCTGCTTCCTCTTTTCGTTCCTCGACGGTGGTGGTTCGGCCTTGCAATCCTTGGAAGAGAAGGTGTACGAGGAAAACGCGTATTTGAGCCTGTTTGCCAATAAAACCACTCTGATCGAAATTGTTTTCATCATAAATCGTCATGCGGAATGAGATTATTCGTGAGACCTATGTTGAGTTCTCTGTGCCTTCAAACGATGGCGCCTACTTGCAACCAGCGGTATAGAAAATTGTAGCAGGATTTTTTTTAGTGACTCGGGAGTTTAGACTGTTTAGAAACTTAAGCATCAACTTCCGTAATCAGCGTACCTTCTGGTACTTATACGCATGGAGAAGGATAATAAGGCCGAACATTTTACAAGAGAATTCTTTTAGACTTCGAATTAAGCAAAAATGTGGTGCGGCTCTGTAACCCAGCTTATTGGGCTCGTGTTGCTCCCGATTCAGACGCGTCACGCGGCTGTGTCTGCGTCTCTCTCATTCACCATACTTCTCTCTCGGGCTGAGTTTGTTTTCTTCATTACTGCCCATTGCTTATTACAGTATCTATTACTCCGTTAAAAGGTCCGTTTTCTAGGCTCACGCAATGTCCAAAGAAACGTTTTCAAGTTTTCGGCAGTTTCCTTTTCCAATACTTGCAGTACTTCGCATTTCTGCTTTATTTTTGAGCAAAGTTATCTTACGTAGCTGATTGTGGGGTGTGAAGGGTGAAAATATGGAGGAAGCAAACTTTGGGCGCACAAACCTGCATAACGGTGGAGGTCTCCGTCGTCGTGGTTGTCTTTTCCGTTACTGGCTGCGCATGCCTCATCGCTACCGTTCGCTGTAATGGTTGGAATAATGGAGCCAGTACTATTTTTGAATTGTTTTTCTGATAACTGCTGACTTGAATAATAAAAATAAGTTAAAAAGGGTAACATTTAGAAGAGCTTTCAGCCTCGCGGTTCACTGCCGATATCGGCTAACCGGTTCCTTCACGTTATACGTGTGATTGTTGATAAGCCGGGGTAAATCAGCAGCTAAAGCTGAGTTGGGCTGAAAATGACGCCTGGGATTTGAATCTGGTCGCATCATTGCCCGCATAAGAGCGAACCGAGTACGAGTCCCGGCTGTGCCAAAATTTTGCCCACGACTCAGCATTCGTGTTAACTGCCATTACTCCCCGTTCAATTCGACCCAGGTTGCAATCACGACATCCAACGCCCTTACCTTCCACTGCGCGTCTTCGTCCTCTTTTCGAGTTGTGGTGGACACCTGAGTTGGTTGGGCGAGCTCATCATGTACATGCTGAAAGTGGCTCTCATAGCAGATGATTCAAGGGCACGAGGAATCTGTTGTCCGGAGAGCAATGACTGATCATGAACTCCTTCTTATGGGTGATTTGGTTGAACTGACCTGAACGAAACCATCCGCGGTGGTTGTGGTGGTGACCCGCTTTGTTAACTGAGGAATTCGAGACTGAGCTAATCTCTGTAAGGAAAAATAGGAGAGAAATTTTTGAATGAAATGAGGAAATTGTGCTCTACCACACTCACCCGCATTGCCTCCTCATCTTCCGTCGTTTTGGTTGTTGTGACGGTTTGAACGCCGCCAAGCGGTAGATGCTGCCATTCTCTGAATTCCGAGCATTTCCTTTATATCATCATCCTTTTGAGGGTAATAATGCGCCCGTGTTTAGGATAGATATATGGCCTTTGGAGTCGCGTTGACTACGGAAGGTACAACATCCTTGTTTTCAAGGATGGTGGTCTCTTATAAAGACTTATATTCGGGTATTCGGGTGGCTCCCGGCTATAAAATCTGTCATGCAAAGCGCCCATTCTTTCTAGACGGGCGCTCTGGTAATGTGGCAACTGATGTCAAGTGGGCAATCCCAGATGCCGTTAGGGGGTGATGGTGTAACTCCAGTTCAGGGGGGGGCACTGCTTGTTTCTCAATACTTTGAGCGGCTCAAATAAATCTAATGGTCTCCTTTAATGTGCAACTTCTGATAAGTACGGTGTAATGTGGGGGTCAAGGGAACAGTTCCTGGACCAGGAGAATGGACACCTCTGCCTAGGCCTAAGGGCGGAGGAACTCCAGGGTGGATGACCTGTGGATAGGATGTAGGCAGGTTGTTGTGGAATGTAAGAAATCCACCGGTCCTTATCAAAAGTACGCTTGAAATGGGTCGTTATTTAACCTATCGTTCTTCATCGTGTTGGTTCTCCAGGTGTCTCTCTCTAGTGTACGCGGCATGAAGATAGACAATCGAGTCAACCCCCCTCCTGAACTGGAAGTTTCCGGTAATGATTCCCGAGGAGGAGGAGAGGGTGGGTTCAATGACGTCATGTGAATGTCGTTAGTAAAATGCGTAAGAGCGATCCAATCACTGTTCGTCTTCACTGGAAATTGTTGTCCACCAATGACGTTTAGTAACGTCATCGAAACCGGCAGCTCTCTCCAGCCATCGTGACCACTGCCTTTTGTCACTTATTCTTTACTAGCGACTGTTCACTTACTCTTGCCTCCTCTTCCTCCGTTGTTTTAGTTGTTGTAACGGTCTTCACCTCTGGACGAGTCGTTTCCATCATCTGAAATTACTCGTCCGTCTGTCTTCTATTAGGTACCGGATATCTTAGTGTCGTTTTTTCACCGCGAGTTTCGGACCACCAATATTTTAATTCAAAATCCAGTGAGTGAAACGGCATATCCATCGAATGACTCATTAGCCCTTTCCCATTTACCAGTATGAGTGAAAACCTCGTACGATTAAAGTTAGGAATTTTTTGAGACGAAAAAGAGAGGTAGGTCGAATTTGACATCATCTGACAAATCATCCCTCTACCTTGCTAAACAGTTGGGCCTGGACAAAATATGTATACATTTAGTTAGAGTAGGGTCTGCACTGTTGGTGGAAAATTTATTAACTTACCAGCTCAACTGGACAATTTTTCCCGGAGTCTTTTTTGCCACATAGGGTCAAAAACGCACCCTTTTTGAGCACACGTGAGTAGCAGATGAGCACATTTATTAGAATTTCTTGGTCAATCAACTTCGTTAGAGCGTCTGTGCACCATCGATCAGTCACTGCTAGGTGTCCTACCATTCCAGCACAAGACTGGTGCAGCCCCGTCTTTGACTGATTTAGCTAGGACCACCTTTTTGACGACGATTGCGGGCATCCCTTCAAAGACTTTACTGTCTTTTAAGAAAACTGTGAAAAACCGATGAGCATTTTAAATGGTAGTATTCCCTCCAACAAATGCAATGCTGGTTTGGTGGGCGGAGGTTGTAGCTCTCAGCAAGAATTTTGAAGCATTTGGTACACACATGCGAATTTGCACACTGGACCCAGGAATTTTCAGAAGAAAGTATAAAAATTGGGGGAAAGTTAAATTGTGAACCAACAATAGAAGACGGTAAGCAACATATTTCGCAATATTAATGAGCAAAAACTGCCTTCTGGGATATTGATTTTCCATAGTAATCGGCCCCAAAACTTCCTGAACTCAGAAAAGCGACACTAAGATATCCGGTACCTAATACAAATCAGTGGAATTGAGCCTACTCAGATTTTTTCGGACTTACCTGTGCTCGACGGTCTTCAACCACTTCTTCTACACGCTTCGTTGTTTCTACTGTTCGCGGTTTCGCTACCTCAGCGCTGCTGCGCTGCAAAAAGAGAGACTATTCCGTCTTAGGAGTGGGTTCATAATGAATACCGTAATCAAGTCATCTAATGCCGTGCCAGACACCGAAATTTTTAATTTCGTATCTTGCCGAAGTAATTCTATAAGATTCAAGTTGTTGTGCAGACTTACAAAACATAAGCGAAGTAAAAAAAAAAGACTTGGAATGTTTTTCACCCAATTTCCACTCAAACCACATTCACGCGCCGATGGCCGCCCATATGGGCTGCCAACAACATGTGCTTCCTGGGACGATGGCAGCCCATATGGGCTGCCAGCTGATAATCGCTTGCCAGGCGCTAGGAATGGACAGATAGGTGGGTAAATCTCGTAATCGAGTGAGAAATGCTTTTAAAATCCTTCACGGGGAAAGCGAATAAATGCTCTCTTTTCGTAACCACTATTCGTCGTTCTGATCGAAATCCTACTGTTATATGTTTAGATAATCTTTACGCATTGAACATTGCAGAAATTATTTTGTGACATTCATGTTTTTGTTCATTTACAGTACAAAATCTGCGGTGATGTGGTGAGGCGGCGGCGCCCACAAAATCGCGTCCGTCCCACGCGACCGAAAAGTGGAAAAGGGGCGTCGTCGTGAATGTGTTAAAAAGAACAGGAATGGCATGCCATAGATTTCCTACCAGGGAGGATGGATATATATCGGTACGGCGTATGCAATAAGACGCATGCTGTTGGGATGTGTTCTGGCACTCGAACTTGAATACTGCCGCAAAAAAATCTGCCAATCGATGTCTGGGAGTTGTGACAGCAAAAATAGAGGCAGCGGTAGCGGTCGGGTCATGGCAGGAAGAATCGTAGATCGATTCCCAGCAAATGCTCTCTTTTGCCTTCGCAGCAATCCATGGTTGAAAGACTCTCGACTACGCTCTTGATCAGCTTGCCGACTAAACTCCCTGCAAAGACGCTTGCGAGGAGTTCCGAAAAGTTTGGGCCTACTTAAACGATGACCATGAGCCCACAAAACCCATTGAAAGACATTTTTGCGGCAGATAGATGGTGCAAATCGTGAACCAGGGGTATAACCCCTAGAAGCAAAATTTGTAAGCTAACCATCTCGCCCGGGAATCGATCCTAACGACAAGGTGTCACGAGCTCGGAAGCAGGGTCAACCGTCACGTTGGACCGACATTGGACCGACGTTGGACCGACGTTGACCGCTCTCCGCGCCGGCATTCGCACTCGCCTTGCGCGAGCCGTCTGTGTCTCCGTGCGTACGTTCACTCTCGGCATTACTCTCACACGCTAGAGAGCCATGCGTTGGACTTTGTCCAACGGACGGTTGACCCTGGCTCGGATGCTACAACTGCTCCGGTATACATGTTTACTTCCGTAAGAAAATCGCTTCACAGCTCGCAAGAAGATTCGAGTTCATCGTTCCAGAACACATCCACCAGTATACGTCATGCATTTCAATGGCCTTCGAACGCAATCATCCTCCTGTTAGCTCTAATTTCTTCAACGTAGTTCCTTTCCTTTCCTGTGTGAGGCTGGTGGAGGAAAGGGGAAGGAAGGTTCTAAGATCATAATGCATCATTTGAACAGAAGAAAAAATTAAAAGTTGAACTAAAAAATGTGGTCGATAGCTTGATTGTAGCCACTGCGTGATAACTCAGGATAAGAGCTATATGGAGAAGCTTACCTGAACCCATCCTTCAGACTCTGTCGTTTGCGTTACTTCTTTCAGAACTTTTGGAATCCTTTCCAACAGCTCCCTTTCTTCTTCTTCTAGCTGAAAAAGGCTGCTGTCTTTATGGTGAACAATTGTGAGGTGTTTCAAACTGTAGCGCACCTGTTCGATTATGAACCTCTTCCTGCGTTCCTCCTCCGTCTCGCGCTCTTCTTTGACAACGGAAACTCTCTCTTCTTCCTTCTTTCCCTGAAGTAAATAATAGCATAGAGCACAAATGAGAAAACAGCTGTGAAAGGGGGCAGGTCTTGCATATTCACGTCTCAGTGAAATCCAACTGCTTCTCAGGCTCTCGGGCGTCTTTCAGACGCTCAATAGCCAAACTCATAGAAAGGCATAGTTGGCAATACTTTTTTATTTCTAATTTAATTGTGATCTTGATTGATCAGTGTTACCCTCAGCGTCTGGTGATGTTCTTGTTTTGCCTGGTGTTTGGTTTCTAACGTTGTCTTATACAACGTATTGATAAATAAATAAATAATAAATAAATAAGATAGCTTCTTGCTTTTCACGAGGAGTAAATCTTAAGGTAAACCAAGAATGAGGCTTCCACTGAGAAAAAGCTGATCGAATTAATTCCTTTTCTAGCTATTTAGAAACGAAAAACGGCTGACTCCCACCCTTACTTCCACTGATAAAAGCTGATCGATTAATTCCTTTCTAGTTTTTAAGAACGAAAAATCAGGTTGACTCACTCCTTCTTCGAAAGCAACAGAACCCGTGACGATGCGTTCTGTGGTGGTGATCTGCTCTGGGAGTGAAATGCTCATCAATGTGCTGAAATGAGTGACGGGTAGAGCACATTCTGAAAAAGAGGCTCACTGCAGATAGAAAAATCGCCTTACGAAGATACGGGCTTCGTCAGTGATCGTTTGGGAGACCTCCGCCGTTGTTTGAGGACGACGCTCGGGTATGACAATATCCTGGAAACGGGTGTGTGGGTTAAATGTAGTTTCCGAGACAGATAAGAAAACGATTTCAAACTCACATCGATACGTTCGATAGGGAGAGCTGATTTGGTGAATTCTCGCCTGTCAGGCGGAGCTGCTGGCATGTTGATTTGCTGAAAGCCCAGGATTTTGAAGTTACAATTTTTCCAATGCCGTTTACAGTATCTCATCTCGGAATCAGTATCTTCGCCCTCCCCTCCCCTTCTGGTGCCCTAAACCAGTGCGCAACAATGTAACATTGTATCGGGAGAATCTATCTTCGCTTTGAACTCCCAAAATTCCATAGAATGGCACTAAGTGTTTGAAATTGTGTTAAAACAGAGTCTTAAGGAGTAAAATCGGAGCTTTCAGCAATGCCTTACAGTTGGGTGAATTTTTGGAGCGACTTTCATAACAGAAAGTTACTTTGAAACAGTCCTTAACGTTTTTTCAACAAGACCCATACGAAACAAAGTTCCAAATGCGCAACCTACCGCGACATTCTCCTTCATTACTCCAGCTACCTTCTTTGCTGTGTGTGGAGTAACAGGCTCCGTTTGACGAATGGCCTAAAAAATTTCAAGCAGATCCAGATTTTTCAGTTCGGGATATAGGCTACTATTCTCCTATCCAGACTTTGCAGAGGTCTATGAGCACATGTCCAGCCTTTCTGTCTCACAAGCAATACTCTTCAAAACTTTTATATTTAGTAGTGAAGACTTCCCAGGTGAGAAAACCTGGAATATAAAATCGAGGACTTGGGGAATGAAAATCACAGCTCATCAGTCC